GGACGACCATCTCGTGGCCGTCCTCCAGGGAAAAGCTCCATGGGCTTCTGGCACAGAGAAAGCGGGAGTCTCGGTCACACCGGACCCAACGGAACGTCTCGCGTCTCGGAGTCCGATCAGCCGAGACAATAGACCGGACCCCTGGAAAAGGGGCCACCACATCCCTTGACTTCAAGCGTCGAAGGCTGGCAGACAGGCGGACAGGCGGACGGGCTTCACGCTCCTCTTTTTGCGGACAACGGTTCAACGCTCACGTCACCCGGGATCGCGCTGCAGAACGTCTGGGCGGGCTGCTTCTTGCAAGCTACATCGCCTACATTTGCGATTCCGGTCCAGCCAACCACGGCCACGGCGGTGAGATGCTGAGGTTCACGACTCGCCCGTGATGGAGCTGAGTGGTTCCGCCTTGACGTTCAAGACTGCGCAATGCGTGGCACCGACTTGCGCATTCAGTGACGAAGAGTCCTAGTGCCATGGGCAGATCAGATCCCTCGGGTTAGTCCGCGTATCAAAAACATTCATGTCCACGCTCTGCAGAAAATTAGGAAGGATCGAAGACAAACCTCAATCTTAAAGGGTAGAAGATACGAAGTTCATCCCAAACCTGGAGATCCAAAGTGGTAAAAAAAGTGAACCTCGCTGTGACACATTTTAATGTCAAAACACGCCACTAGCAAAAAGTGAATGTTCAAACGAAAGCGCAAGTCGGCATCTTTGGAACTCTGCGTGAACCGCGGAGTCACGGGGAGAGAGGAACGAAATCGTCGTGATTTTGGTTGAAGACATGCTCCCACAGTGCCTAAATGTGACGAAAACGTTGTGAAAAAAGAACCATATACTTAAATGTACGTTTATTTTCGCAACTTTTCGGACATGTTTGCAACTTTTCAGGAAAGTTGCATGTTTTAAGCCGCGTCCAGCATTGACAAAAACAGGCGCGAAAACATCAGAAAAGTCCTAGCACAAGTGCGTGTGAGAAAACTTGGCTCAGGCGCTGGATGTTTTTCTTCGCGCCACTGCAAAGCATCAACACGCCCTAAGAGAACAAGTGCCAAACACCAAGTGACACTTTTTCGGAAAATATGCCACCCGCCACTGTGATAGAAAAAAGTGCCACTTTGGATCTCCAGGAAAGGACATGCGCGGGGCCGATCGACAGCGTCTCAGGTGAGGATCGGCTGACGGGTGCGCTCCAGGGTCGCTGGCATTTTTTTGATTAGACATGGTTTTTGAAATCCAAGATTCGAGATCCAAGACTTGAGATCTGAGTTTGTCAAGTTCGATCTCATTATATTTACAGTTTGTCAAATTTCCATTTATGTTTGTTCGATCGATCCTAGGCATCCACACGCTTCCCAGAAGACGTGGACAGATCTGTTGAACGCAGCCGCCAGTTTCTCGACACTTCTGGGTGCTTTTCCTGGTCCCTCCAAACCGCTCGGGATGGGTGAGAACCCCCCTCCAAGGGATTGGGAGTCCGATCCACTCATATTTACAGAGGACCCAGGAGCTTCTGGGCACCAACATTTGAAGTCTGGCCGATTCTTGTTTGAGCAGAGTTTCTTGGGGCGGAACTTCCGCGCATGGCCTGGTTTTGTAGCCAGGTGTTGTAGTGTAAGACCCTTATAATTATAGTAAAACAGCTGGGGGGTTGGGATCCCAAACCATGGAATTGAATAGTGGATCCGCAAGCCAGAAGCCATGGGGGAGGATAGGCCGTGCACGTCTGAAAAATGTTGTTGGCTCTCCAAGGCGTAATTTGCCTAGCCTGCCTGATGCGCCAGGGGAACCCAGATGGCCTGACGTGGCGTTTGCAAATGTTTGCAGTGCATATTTTGTTTTGCCCTAATCCGGGCCCTCAAACAGGGTTTTGCTTCGAGTCGGTGTTTTGCTTCATTCTTACATGCGCAGGTAGCCTTCCGACCGCCATTGATGCCTCACCCAGGTGAGGGTTGTTAATTTTACGTCAGCTGCCTTCCGCCTCGACCGCCTCCGCCTCGTCCGCCTCCTCCACGCATTAACCGCAAGTGCAGGATGGCAGTGTTCCCCGCCGGACCTCAACTGATTATGCAGGTCACGTGTCGGCATGCCCACGCCTGATTCGTTGGTAGAGGTGTGCCTGTTCTTGATGATGCAGCGTTGGGTGGATCCAAGCTCGTCAGAAGACAAACCATGGATGGTAGAGCGCGTGAAGCTGGTGCAGGCGCTCTGCACCCGCACTGAAATTGGGCATGAGATCCACACGGAGGCCGTGACCAAGACACTATTTGGTCATGCGGCTGGTGCTGTATTGTGTTGACAGGAATCCAGAGCGAAGGATGTCCACACCCATGCTCGAACCAGTACTGTATATATCGCGCTCTCAACGCTCTCAAACAAAAAGTCAGCTTCATGGCCCCAAGCAAAGTCGAGTGTTCCCCGCCGGACCTCAACCGCGAGTTTCGGCTGGCAGTGTTCCAAGCTGTTCTTTCATTGAACGACGACTTCCACCATCACCATGCTCCTCCAGACCTCCACCCAGCTCTCTCTACCTCTAGACCTCTACAACTCTTGTTTGTGAGCCCCCATCACCAACATCCACCTCCGCCACCACTCCATCGCCGCCGCTGCCGCCACCACCACCACAACCACCACAACCACAACCATCCACTACCAGCACACCATGACCATCACCATTACCATTACCACCTTCATCGCCACCTTCACCACTTTCTTCACGACCATCACCATCATCACCATCGCCTCTCTTTGGAACCCAATGCGTCGGACCTTCGGTACACCTCTAGACCTTGGACATTTAGACACACTGTTCGGGGTCTCTTGCCAGGATAATTTTTGACTTGCCCGTGGCAACTCTGGAAGTTGTTGCCCTCTCAACCGCCTTAGAAGTCAGTTATTTCTCTCCTCATCAGCGACTTGATCCAATATCCCTTTATCCGAACCCCCATATTAGCCCCCCTTCCGAAATTTCCACCCAAATCCTGTCCTCAAAACCTCCAAGCCACCGCGTTCGGTGTGTCTCAGACTGCGCTGTGCGGCGGACCATGGGCACTTCGGGGTGCTCGAGCTTCTCTTGAGCGCTGGTGGGGGGGCTTGGTTGACGTGCACTGGCGGCAAGCCTCCCCGTTGACATGTTACCCTAAGAATGAAGGACCTTCAAAGGTGAAGGCTTTGAGGGTCCAAACCCCTGCTATGCAGTCTCAACACCCTCCAAACCCCGAGTCCAATGATGCTATTAGGAATGGGTTTTTGTCCGAAGAACCAGCTGTTTGCAACACATGTTTTTTCAATGGTCTTTGAAGGTCAGGGCCCGGGATGAGTTTTGGAGTCACCGGCCAGTGGGTTCTGTGCGAGGTCCGTGAATATTTGGGCAGTTGGTTTTTTTGGTGGTTTGGGTCGGTATTTCTGTGTTGCGGGTGGTGTTTCCGAACCAGGAGCAGCCAGAACGCTAGAAAAGAACATGTGTTTCTCGAAAACCCCTATGTTTGGCACGTTTGGACAACAGAAAAAACGAGACCTTTATACCTGGACCCGACTGACCCAGTAGACCCTAGAAAATGGGACACGACTCCCCTAACAGGTATGACTGGTCCCATTTTTGGAGGTATATACTTGAAGGGTTCAGGTACATGGCGCTGGAAGTTGACCTTGCTGCATTGACGAAACATGATGAAAACACTGATCCCTTTTGGATCATCAGCAAGTCCAGTCAAGACACATGTACCCTTTTGGATTTCTGGCGCACCATTGATTTAATGGCCTGAATCCCTTCACAACCAGCCTACCAGCTGCTTTACTAGAGGATTTTACATTGCAAAGCCAGGTCGTTTTTGTGGTCTTGGAAGGCTAGGGATGTGGACCCGACTTCGTTTGGACGAGGTGCGACGGTATGCGGTATAGTACTTCGGATCCCGGGTATTTGGGGCACTAACCCAGACACTCCATGAGACTGTTATGCATTTTCGGTGGTTTCAGAGGTGAATGGCACGCCAGTCCCATTAGTCGTCGTGTTGGTCGTGGTAAGGAGAGTGGGGCCATCCTTGGTTGGGATCCCAGGACCAGTTACCTCCTAACCTTGCAGGGTCGAATGAAGGTGGAACAGTATCGCATCTTCCAGGGTCGAACTGGGTTGAGCGGACGAAACATGAGGGTCCTGCAGAGGAGGACGGGGGTGCAGGGCGACTCAAATATAAGGCACTTCGAAAAGGTTTTCAGCGTTGACCTGAGGTGGGTTGACCGGCCATGACACTCATCCGGAGCGGGAGACCAGGGGACCAAGCCCAGGGTTTTGAGGGAACCGGGAGGTCGGGCCTGTGAACGGAGCACCCTGCACACTTTGGACACCAGCAATGGTTGTGCAATGAGAGGCAATGGGTCGCGCAACGGTTGGACATTCCCTCTCAAGGTCCAGGTTGCTGAGTTGTTTGAGACCACCAAAGGAAAGGACATTCCCGCACTTGGGTCGCCTTTCGTCAGACCATGAAGAAAAGAAATTCTCTTCGAGATATGTGGGAAATTTGCTTGTCCACTTCCATGCAGCGAGAGATTCTGTGGCTCTTCAAGGCTTCTTCAATGCGACCTGCCGGCCGGTCTGCGTTCCGTGGCTCGTAGAGATTCAGAGCTCTACTGCCCAGCAGCATGAGAATCACTAGCAATCCAAAGCTTTTTTAAAGAGAAATGGTGACACCACCCTGCTCTTATCTCTAAAAGACCGCAAGAATAGCCCAGATGCAACATGATGCAACCAGAAATCAATTGCCTGGCCGTAATGATACGTATACATTCTAGGTACTCCCAAAAAGATCAATCTTGCCGCATGATTGATAGCTAGTGGCAGCTAGTCACTTCCAATCCGGTAGAAACACAAGGTTTTGCATGGCCACGTACACAGACTAAATCGATCCCACTTCCTCAGAGCCGTCTACTTGGGCCTCTCCCCCTCCAGCGCAGCGAACCCCTCCATCACCCGTCCGCGGGTTCGCTCCGTGAAACGGTCGAGCATGGCGCCGAAAGCCTCGCCGCTGATGACGGGGCTCTATGTGCTGGCGCTCTTGGTGTGTGGCTCTTTGAATACACTCACCATGAAGTGCCTCGAAAAGACCAGTCGACCCTGCGAAGTACTGGAGTCGACCCTGCGCAGTACTGGGTACAGGGACTATATAGGGTTTTTGGTTCGGGTCATGTCCTGTTTTGTTCGATAGTCCTTAGTCCTTAGGAACTTCGGGTCTAGGTATACCTGCATGGGTCATCCTGTTTGGGCGCCCAATAGACCATCCCACACTGCTAGACTGAATAGATCACTCCCTGGAACTGACATGGTGAGGTCGGTGGATGGCATGGCCTCGCGGTCGGTTCAGACTCCTTTTTTTTCCTCCAAACAAAATAGAGGAGTTTTCCACTTCAGTTCCACTTCCATGTGAGTTCCAGAGAGAGCGAGAGAGAGAGAGAGAGAGTACAGTGACCCTTAAAGCATCTTGAAACCGCCCAAATCTTCCTGTCCTCATGAAGCCTTGGGGGGTTCCGTGCCCCTTTCTTTGCGAACTACACCGCCTCCTTGAAGTTGCAGGATCATCCAAGTATCAGCGTCCGCAGTTGGCATGCCATCAATGGCAAAAAAACAGTTTGGCCAACACCTCAGAGGTTCGCAGCCCAGATCATCCATGTTGGGTTTTTGTACACCTGGATCTAAAATGTATGCCAAACTTCATCAATAATCCAGCCAAACGACTAAAATGTTCAGTTGGAACGTACCTGGAGTCTCAAAATACCTCGGAAAATGGATACAACTATTTGTTTGTATGGTGATGTTCCTTTTTCTGGCACATACATTTACCATCCGTACCCCTATGACTCATCCATGTGGTCGTAACTCTTCCATGGATGGTCTCCACGCCGCAGTTGCTGAAAGGGTCGAAGCAGGGATTCCTTGCACAGAGGCCCTAGATACTTGGGCCATGTCCTGGATCCATACCCTACACCTCCAGTCGTACCTCCGAAAGGATTCGGTATGACTAAGACACTCGCACCCACCCCAGTCCCACCTTTTCAGAAGGTACTTGGAGGTCTATAGGGAAAGTACCTTGAAAATGGGACATGACCCGAAGCAAGGACAGGCACGACGACTAAAACCCCCCAGATGGGACAAGAACTCAATCTTCTTGGCAAAACTACAAACGTTCCGGTATAGTAGTAGTTTCGCCAAGAAGATGACACACAAAACACTACAAACGTTCCGGTCTGTAGTATAAAACTACAAACATGACACACAGAGCCTGTAGATTCTCTCCTCCCAGCCGGACCGAAGTCTCCAGATCCAGGTGGTCCAGCCCGACGCATCGACGCTCCGCGGATCCATTTCGATGATGTCAGGATCAATGCAAGCAACATATATACCCCATACACTCCATGGGACAGCCATATATGCCTACATTGGGGTGGTTTGGGGGGTCAATGGGGCGGCATATATTCCAGTCCCATGGAGTGTATGGGTACCATACATGCCATACAGGGAGTGTCTGAGCTAGTCCGGTCCTCCGATGTTTCCCGAACGGAGACCGAACGGCCCGTCCGTCGCGGCGACGGATCGATCAGGATAGCCTTTACCATGTCGGGCACCGTCGATGGTCACAGCCAACGCTTTGAGAAGCCCTGGTTCATCACCTTTGTGATGCCACGCGGATGGCAAGAAAACAAGCACGCGGCGCCGCCAGCTGGCGCGCGCGGTGGCGGGCGGGCGAACGCCTGTTCGTTCACGCAGGGATAGTAGACCCTGGGAAGCGGTGAATCTTTGGTTTGTGGACAGGGTTTTGAATGGTTTTGATTCTTGTTCACAAACCAGGACCTTCCTTTCGCCCGGTGATTTTTGGACACCCCGTAACCACGAAAAGAGGCTATTGATAGACACCTCTTGGAAGGTTCTGGAACATGTGACATGTGTTGATGCTTGTTCACGAACATGTGGGAGGGAAGCCGGGGGGGGGCAGGGACGTGCCTTCCTTCGTTCCAGGCGGTATACCACCACCAAGAGCGAAAGCCCGTTTCGTGTGGGCCTGCCCATATACGAATACACGGGGCCCGAAAGGACGTGAAACCATGGTTGTTTCAGCGAGCAAGGTTCACCTCAAAAGTCCACTGTTAACAATCATCATCATCATCATCATCATCATCATCATCATCATCATCATCAT